CATTTGTGTTAAAACATTCTTTTGAAGAACGTATGAGTAGAGTGAATCACAAAGACCATAAGAAAATTATCGCTTCAAAAATTGTAGGACATACTGTACTCAACTCTAACGTCAATCTTTCTTCTTAATTGCTTTTTCAATTTCATATAACAATGATACTTTACCTTCAAATACTTAAAATAGTAATGGATGATAGTGAAGAAGAAAAATCTGATAATATCTTAATGGTAAAAATGATTGTTGCCGTTATTCATTTTCGAAACTAATTTATTTCCTGAAATTAATTTTATAATTTCATCAACTGCTCATTTCATTCGTTTTATTTATTTAGTACAAATAGGGATGAAATTAATAAGAAAATGATAAAAAAGTACGAATTCGACCAATAACGGCGCCTTTTACAGATAACTGGCAGGGTTTTATATTTGACATTCATTCAACTTTGCATTTTGACCATTCCTACTAATTTGAAGATTTTTCAATAGTAAGAGATCAAAAATTGGAAGCAACTGACAAAATTATTTTAAATGAAGAACCAAAAATGTGAAAAATGAAGCAAAACAGGTATTGGGCCAGTACAACCAATCGTAAAAGATGAAGGAGGCATGCTTGGACCCTGCATTTACTAGTATTTAGTAATCACGTTCTTGACATTCAACAGAATAGTTGTATCATGGTGTCTCCATATTTCTGTTATGTGATGTTGCTTTAGTTGCTCTCTGTAGAACATACGTAAGTTCTAGCGATAATTTCAAAACTAATGCAATTTAATGATAAGAATTCGAAATGTTCTCTAAACTCCGTAAAGTCAAAGCGCGGAAAGCTGTTATCGTTGGTAATTATAATGAATCCCTCATTTCATTGCCTATAAATGTCCAATCGAATAGTTCAGCAGTTAGAAATAAGTCCAGGACCATCTCTTTATTTCATATATTCTTTTCTATAATGCGTCCGTTGGGACATTAATTTCACTTAGGAGCCGTGTTATCAGGAAAAGATGCGGTTTT